CACTAAGTCCCTCTGGAAGACTGGAGGATTGGAGTCCAATTTAGATTTGTCTAAACACCATTCAGTCAACAAATATTTGAGTGCCTCTTCTGTTTCATTTGAAAGTTTGAAAGCCAGTGTTTTCTTTTTTTCCTTCCTGTGTGCTGAGAGCCAAGGACTGTGAGTCTTTGTCATCACCTTGGATAGTCCCAGTTGGAATTTGAGAAGCTCAAGCCAGGTGTTGGTAGTGGTGAAAAAAGGGCTGCAGTCCTCACCTGTTGGGTAGGGAGAGGGTGGAGTCCATGGCATGCACCTTGGAGACATCAAATGTAAGAATGTGCTGCCAAGAAAGTTTGGTTTAGTGCTTTGAATCTTTGAGCAAGTCATTCTAGATAATGTTGGACCTTGAAATTATTTTTAAAAACTCTTTGGAAAAGAATGACTTACTGTGTTGGCATGTGAGGTCTGAGATGCCATGATGTTGATTGTTTTCATTGGCTTCTCTCACTCAGAAGTCTCTGGCTGGCTTGGAAATTGCCTATGAACCTGTGGCTTAATCAGCTTCTCTCTTCTGCTGAGCACCTTTTTGTTGATTGTTAAGGAAATGGCATCTCACTCCAGTATTCTTGCCTGGAGAATCCATTGAGCAGAGAAGCCTGGCAGGCTACTGTCCATAGGGTTGCAAGAGTTGGACATGACTAGTGACTGAACCACCACCACGATTTGTGTGCCTGTTGTGTATTTCCCACATTGTTTCAGAAAGTTATTAAAGTGGCTTTACCTAGTTCCTTTACTTTTTTTTTTTTTTAAGAGATAAGGTTGAGATTCATTTAGCAGCTATTCTCTTGGTTTTGGATTATTCATGTGTTTTAAGTTATTTGGACTGCTTCCATCTCCTGTGACCTAAGATGGTGTCTAAAATGGGCTTGAGGAAGGAATCTTGTCTGAATTAGAAGAGGGGGAAACCACTCATTCACCTGTGAATTTTGAAGTAATTCAGTTCTTAAGCATTTAATCTAAGGAACTAATTTATTTAATAACTTAGCATTTTGAATTTGAGGTTCAGTCCAGTTCAGTCGCTCAGTCATACCCGACTCTTTGTAACCCAATGGACTGCAACACGCCAGGCCTCCCTGTCCATCACCAACTCCAAGAGTTTACCCAAACTCATGTCCATTGAGTCAGTGATGCCATCCAACCATCTCATCCTCTGTTGTCCTCTTCTCCTCCTCCCTTCAATCTTTTCCAGCATCAGTGTCTTTTCAAATGAGTCAGCTCTTCGCATCAGGTGGCCAAAGTATTGGAGTTTCAGCTTCAACATCAGTCCTTCCAATGAACACTCAGGACTGATCTCCTTTAGGATGGACTGGTTGGATCTCCTTGCAGTCCAAGGGACTTTGAGGAGTCTTCTCCAGTACCACAGTTCAAAAGCATCAATTCTTCTGTGCTAAGCTTTCTTTACAGTCCAACTCTCACATCCATACATGACTACTGGAAAAACCGTAGCCTGGACTAGATGGACCTTTATTGGCAAAGTAATGTCTCTGCTTTTTAATATGCTGTCAGGTTGATCATAACTTTCCTTCCAATGAGTAAGTGTCTTTTAATTTCATGGCTGCAGTCACCATCTGCAGTGATTTTGGAACCCCCAAAAATGAAGTCTCTCACTGTTTCCATTGTTTCCCCATCTATTTGCCATGAAGTGATGGGACCAGATGTCATGACCTTAGTTTTCTAAATGTTGAGCTTTAAGCCAATTTTTTCATTCTCCTCTTTCACTTTCATCAAGAGGCTCTTTGGTTCTTCTTTACTTTCTGCCATAAGGGTGGTGTCATCTGCATATCTGAGGTTATTTATATTTCTCCCAGCAGTTTTGATTCCAGCTTGTGCTTCATCCAGCCCAGCATTTCTCATGATGTACTCTGCATATAAGTTAAATAAGCAGGGTGACAGTATACAGCCTTGACGTGCTCCTTTTCCTGTTTGGAACCAGTCTGTTGTTCCATGTCCAGTTCTAACTGTTGCTTCCTGACCTGCATACAGATTTCTCAGGAGGCAGGTCAGGTGGTCTGGTATTCCCATCTCCTTCAGAATTTTCCACAGTTTATTGTGATCCACACAGTCAAAGGCTTTGGCATAAAGCAGAAATAGATATTTTTCTGGAACTCTCTTGCTTTTTTGATAATCCAGCGGATGTTGGCAATTTGATCTCTGGTTCCTCTGCCTTTTCTAAATCCAGCTTGAGCATCTGGAAGTTCACGGTTCACGTATTGTTGAAGCCTGGCTTGGAGAATTTTGAGCATTACTTTGCTAGCTTGTGAGATGAGTGCAATTGTGTGGTAGTTTGAGCATTCTTTGGCATTGTCTTTCTTTGGGATTGGAATGAAAACTGACCTTTTCCAGTTCCATGGCCACTGCTGAGTTTTCCAAATTTGCTGGCCTATTGAGTGCAGCACTTTCATAGCATCATCTTTTAGGATTTGAGATAGCTCAACTGGAATTCCATCACCTCCACTAGCTTTGTTTGTAGTAATGGGCTTCCTAAGGCCCACTTGACTTCACATTCCAGAATGTCTGGCTCTAGCTGAGTGATCACACCATCATGATTATCTGGGTCGTAAAGATCTTTTCCATACAGTTCTTCTGTGTATTCTTGCCACCTCTTCTTAATATCTTTTGCTTCTGTTAGGTCCATACCATTTCTGTCCTTTATTGAACCCATCTTTGCATGAAATGTTCCCTTGGTATCTCTAATTTTCTTGAAGAGATCTCTAGTCTTTCCCATTCTATTATTTTCTTCTATTTCTTGCACTGATCACTGAGGAAGGCTTTCTTGTCTCTCCTTGTTATTTGGAACTCTGCATTCAAATGGGTATATCTTTCCTTTTCTCCTATGCTTTTCGCTTCTCTCCTTTTCACGGCCAAAAGTTCTTTATGTATTGGTTGACTTTTCTGACAATTGTGATATTGAAATGGAAGTAAATTAGACATTGATAATAAGCAGAGCAAAAGAGAATGTAAGGATCATAATTTATGAAGCTTTAGGAAACTGAAGTTATTTTTTTAAACCTGGAAATCATCTTAGAAGTCATCAAATCCAAGTCTAGGATATACAGGAGGCAACTGAGACCCTGTAAGTAATTTGACCAAAGTCATCCAGCTAATATATATAGGTGTAAGTAAAGTCATATGATATGAGGGTAGTAGAAATAATGACAATATGTTAATATCTCTTTAGATAGGAGAGCTTGTAAAACTTTGAGAGATGGATTGAGACTGCGACAGACCATTAGAAATAGAGGGGTGATGTGAAAGATGAATTACCCTTGAATTTCTGATCTGAATTTTAAACCTTTAATTGATTGGTTTGGTGGTGGCTGATGTGGAGGTTCAGTTAGTCATTTAATCATTTATTCATCAGGCATTTACTGACTGTCTTCAATATTGTAGATTCTTAGCTAGATATTGGGGCTACAGATATGAATTAAACATGTCCTTTTACTCCTGGAGTTCTTGTCCTCCTGGAATAGAACCAGAAAGAATACTTTCTATTTTGTTGTGTCTCTCCCTCTCAAAAAAAAAAAAAACATACTTGGTTATTAAGTTAGTGGCCTACTGGTTTTATGACCTACAAATCACTGCTGTTTCTTTGCCTTACTATTTCTGTGAAATGCACAAAATTAGGATCTGATCACACCAATAAGGAGGTTGTGTCTTGGGGTCTGGGGAGGTGTGATGAGGAAGTACCTGAGAATCATCCTTAGCGTTTAGGTTGTTTAGAAGCAGTTGTTTCTGGAGAGAGAGTCACCCGAGCCACGCTGCTACCCTTGGGAACCCCACTTTTGGCGTTCCCCCCCGAGCAGGGGATGGTGGGTGTGCTGGGGCAGGTATGTGCCTGGTGGCTTTATGAGCAAGCCCTCTTCTGCAGAGAACTGTGAACCTGTCTGAAGCGGCAAGTTTTGGTGAGAAGTTGTTCTTCTCTTGGTTATGCTTTCTCAGCTGGGACTGCTAACTTTAGAGGAATGTGGATTGGTGCCAGGCTGACGGGTCGAGGACATAGTTCCTGCCAAAGTCAAGTCTGAAGAAGAGACCTTTTTCAGGTGAACTTACTTGGCAGTCATTTGTCCTGAATGGAGAAGAGCATGTTTCCTGGGTTCATGAAGTTAGTGGACAAAGATTGACCTTTGTTACGAACTCTTGGCATCTCTACCCTGCTTTGCATAATTGCAGAGTGCTTTATTTTGAGTGGTTTCAGGTATCCATTTGCTCCTCCCATTTCCTCAGCTAGCATGAGAATACCAGTCAACTCGAAAGTTACTCAGCGTGTAGTATTCATTGATTCAGCAAATATTTACTGAGGGCTGGGTGCCAAGGACTGTGCCAAGGGTACATGCTGGGGATACATTAGTGAATAAGACACACAAGCTCTGTACTTTCAAGAAACTTGTGTATTGGAGGAGGAGGCTAGACAGCAACTAATTAAAATAATTTCAAAGTATATTGAGTTCCTGGAAAGAAATAAACCAGGTGCTATGTTAGGGAATAACGCAGGTGGGAACTTCTTCAGGATGGGAGTTCGCTGCTGCCTTCCATTAGTTTGGACAAGCAAACTGAGGAATAGGAATAGAATACTCTAGAATGGCAGAGGAGGAGCATTATATAGGGGGAATGGTGAACTGTATGTGATGAATGGATGGTAACTAGACTTGTGATGGTGATCACTGTAGTGTTTATAGATGTTGAACTATATTGCTGGGCACTTGAAACTTATGTAATAAAAGGGAAAATAACTAATGTTAATAAGGAATTAGGAAACCATATTACTCTTTATAGTAAATTCAGCTGATATGAATAAGCTGGAATAGTTTCCCCATTTGGTTAGGAAGCTGCTGATACTGGGCTATGATCATCCCATTCCACTGTGAGTTAGGCCTTATGTGTTTATTCCCTCCTCAGGTGGAGGCTTGACTTTTGATCTATGTCCTCCCTACATCAGCTGCCTGAAAGTACTGAATGATCACATGACCCTGGACATGGATGCTGTCCTGTCGGATTTTGTCCGTTCCACAGGAGCAGAACCAGGATTGGCCCGAGATCTTCTGGAAGGTAAGGAGTCTCGGGGAGAATGAGAAGAGAGAAAGTAAAATGTGATATTTATTGTTAGGATAATTTGGAATGTAACGTGATCAGAAAGATACTTTGTGTATGGTAGGCCTTACATTTAAGTTACTTCTAATAATCTATTTTTGTGTGACCCCCCCCCCCATAATTTTAAAATGCAAAATTCCTTTTTCACCTTGAATTTTTGGGTAGCTTTTCACCACTCAATTTATGCTTAGGTAATACAAGTGAAATTTGAGATTAGTTCACTAAAAGCTTAATTTTAGGTTTGTAAGACTTCCTTTTTATATATAAATGACTTTGGATTTTCATATTTGGGATCATCCATATTTGTTTTTTTCTTTCCTCCCCTAACTTATATGGATCATTCTATGTAGAGTGGATTAATTTAATGTTTTCGTTTTGCTGCTTTTGTTTACTTATATCTGTATATACACGGAAGTGTGAATATTCTAAATTTTAAGATCATTTAAGCTTGGCATCGTGTCAGCAGGATTCTTTGTTTGGAGTCATAGTTAACAGATGCTTTTTGATGATGAAAATACATAATGACACAGTTGGTAAACATGTTGTGGAGGATGGGCCAGTTCTTAGTATACACAGGTAATTTTTTAGATTGTCAGTCCTTAGTAAGGTGTGGCAGTTTGACATTTATGTAGCTACCTGTGAGACTAGTGTTGATTTGGAAATGGAAGATCAGGGTTTAAACGGCTTTGCCCTTAATTTACATTTGCAGTTTCATCTCCTACTACTGTTCGCTACAGTGCCCGTGCTCCAGCCAGGCCTGACTTGTCACCTTTTCCTGATAATATTAAATTGTCTCCTAAGTCTGCAGTGTCCCTTCATTCATTATTCTCCTGAAATTCTCATCCTTCTGGATTCAACTCATATGCCTTCTCTTCCACTTGTAGCATGTGTTGAACACTTCTATGTGTTTAGTATGTGTGAGCTACTTGAAATATTTTATTCTCACAACCATTCTGCAAAATAGGTTTTATTTTTCCAGTATTCCAGTTTTAAAAAACCTGAGGTCCAAGAAGTGAAGGAGAGTTTGAACCTATGTGATCTGGTTTCAGAGTTGGGCTCTTAACAAGTATGTTACAAGTTAATGTTTGCATGCTGTCTCTCTTTCTGTCGAATACACATCCATGTACATGCACATTCATGCTGTGAAAAAAAAGTTGAGGGTTGAAAGAAAAGTTGAGGGTGCTGTGAAAATGTAAGAGAGAAACCTAATTTAGATAAGAGAGTGCAGAAAGGCTTTTCTGAAGAAGTGACATGTGAACTGAACCCAAAAGGATGCATAGGAATAGCAAGACAAAGTAGCTTATACAGGGACCCTAAAGTGAAAGAGTTTGGCACTGATAGTGATTGAGGTAGGAAGAGTGGTACAAGAAGGTGGTAGGTAACTGGTTAGATGAGTGGAAAGCAGAATGCAGAGAGCCTTTGTAGGCTATGGTGAGGTTGTGCATTTCAGTGTATGTTCAGTGGGAAGCTTGTGGAGAATTTTACTCAGGGGAGTGAAATGACTGGATTTAAGTTTTTGAACAGGATACTGATTAAAGATAATGGAACTGACTGGAAGGTGGCCAGAAATGAAGTGGTAAAATCAGTTAAGAATATTGTCATAATTCAGGTGAGTGGTGATGGTGACTTGGACTACAATGGTAATAGCAAAGTGATAAGTGAGTGGATTTAAGATATAATTTAGAAAGGGACCCAAAGGACCTGATCCTCATTTTCTGTCTCTTCCTGTCTTTTGCTTTTTCCTTTGAAGTTAACTCTGGTTATAGTGTAAAGAACAATTTATAGTGGGGAGGGAATAGCAGTAAAGAGACCAGAGAGCCACCTCCCAGAAGACCAAAGACTGGGTGACAGTATGAGGACTTGAATTGGGGCAGTGATGATAAAAATGGACAAGAAAGAATAGATTTGAGAGATATTTTAGGGGTACAAACAGCCCTGAGAATCAAATAGATAGTGAGGGAAGAGGAAAAGTAGGGTCTGAGGAATGGTGAAGAGCTAAAATGACTCTAGTTTCTGGCCTGGAGGGGTTGAGATGCCATTCTTGTTTCAGGGAATATAGGAGAAGAAGCAAGCTTTAGGAGGGAAGATGATGGACATTCAGGTTTAGTGATATTAACTGTTAGGAGGACTTGATTTTAAGCAGTTTAGCAGGCAGTTGGAAATAATGATCCATTGCTCAAGACAGATCATTTATTCATTCATTGGTGCAGGACAAAAGTCCTCCATTCTTCAACAGATATTTTTTGAGTACCTATTATGTGCCAAGTTCTAGATGCTTGAATAAAACAAAACAAAAATCTCTGCCTTTACATTCTAGAATAAGAGTCCGTAAACAATAAACTTGATAACCAAGTAAATTGTAAAGTTCATTTCAGTTCAGTAGCTCAGTCGTGTCCGACTCTTTGTGACCCCGTGAATCGCAGCACGCCAGGCCTCCCTGTCCATCACCAACTCCTGGAGTTTACCCAGACTCATGTCCATCGAGTTGGTGATGCCATCCAGCCATCTCATCCTCTGTCGTCCCCTTCTCCTCCTGCCCCCAATCCCTCCCAGCTTCAGGGTCTTTTTCAGTGAGTCAACTCTTCGCATGAGGTGGCCAAAGTAATGGAGTTTCAGCTTCAGCATCAGTCCTTCCAGTGAACACCCAGGACTGATCTCCTTTAGGATGGGCTGGTTGGATCTCCTTGCAGTCCAAGGAACTCTCAAGAGTCATCTCCAACACCACAGTTCAAAAGCATCAGTTCTTTGGCACTCAGCTTTCTTCACATGTATGGATATACATGACCACTGGAAAAACCATAGCCTTGACTAGATGGACCTTTGTTGGCAAAGTAATGTCTCTGCTTTTTAATATGCTATCTAGGTTGGTCATAACTTTCCTTCCAAGGAGTAAGCGTCTTTTAATTTACTATATTATAAAGTGTTAGGTGCTATGGAAAATGGTCGGGAATGGTGAGGCAGGTTGTGATTTTTAATTGGGTAGTCAGGGTAGGCCTTATTAACTTATTAAGTGTGTGACATTTGAGCAAATACCTAAAGGAGTTAAGGAATTGACTGTGTAGATATAATGGAGATAGAGCCTTCTAGACAGTGGGGATAGTTGGTGAAAGGCTGTAAGTGGGAGCAGTCTTAGCAAGTTTCTGGGACCAGCAAAGAGGCCAGTATGACTGATGCAGAGTGAGTGAAAGGAGTTGGAGCAGATGGTGAATCTGAAGGTTCAGAAGTAAATTCATCCAGCATGGATGATTAATACGGCTTAACTGGAGAATTATAATTACAACAAGAAGCATAACAGCAATGGCAGTAAATACATGTATAATGCATTCCGTGTGCCAAACATTGTTTAAGTGCTTTCAATTAATTTAATCTTAATAACAGCTCTATGTGGAATCATCTCCACTTTCATAGCCAGGGAACTTGAAGCACAGAGGAAAGATTAGAAAAGTAGGCCAAGTCATAGAAAGCCTTGAATGTCAAACAAAAGAGCCTGAGCTTTATTCTGTAGGCAATAGTGTATGCCCCTAAAAAAATTTGATTATGGAACTAAAATGATCAGAATTGTTCTATAGAAAGATTAATCTCATTGGATCCTTCAGAATAGATTGGAGGTGGGCACTAGGTGATACAGGAATTGAATTAAGGTGGTGACAAGTGAAATAGAGCAGGAAGAAGTGTGAATAGTTACTTGTTTATTGGCTAGTTTAACTGGAGAAAGCAATTTTAAAAGTCATTGGTAACAGATCTATCATTTGAGTCTACTGATAGTCCGTCCCCTCTATAATTTGTTCTTTACACTACAATCAGAGTTAACTTTCAAAGGAAAAAGATTAGTGATTCTTAAGTTTGAGGGGAATTAACAATTCCCTTGGATAGCCTGATGGCAGCTATCAGCTCTTTCTTTAGAAAAATACACATACCTGTAACTTTGTGTACAACTTCAGGTGACTTAGCACATCTAAGCTCAGAACTCTCTGGATCTCAGAACTAGGAGACCTGGGCTTGTGTCCTGCTGAGGCCCTGGTGCAAACTAGCTGTGACTTTGGGCAAGTAACTGTACTTCTTAAGACTTGCTTTGTCTGTAAAATGACATTACTAGGTCTCCAAGGGCCTTTTCAGTTCAGAGAGACCAATGTTCTGTGCTCGTGGAGCTTTCTTAGGAAACAAACAGCAAGTAAATAAAGAAATTGCGGTATTTCAGACTGAAGTGTGTTGAAGGAAATTAGAGTAGGGGAAGGAAAAGGAAGACTGGAGTGTGCATGAATATATGCTTGCTAGTTTCGGTAAGATGCTTAGAATGATGGTTCTGTGTCTTTCCTCGATTTTCCTGTACTCTCAGCACCCAATTCACTTTTTGTTTTGTGTCCTGACAGGAAAGAATTGGGATGTGAGTGCTGCCCTCAGTGATTTCGAGCAGCTACGTCAAGTCCATGCTGGGAACCTGCCCCCACCCTTTAGTGAAGGGAGTGGTGGCTCCAGGACCCCTGAGAAAGGGTTTTCTGATCGAGAGTCTGCTCGCCCTCCCCGGCCCACCCTACAGCGGCAGGATGACATCATTCAAGGTATTGGGGTACTGAGGGCCGTTTTTTATATGGAGTAGGAAGGAAGGGAGACAGCTGTTAACCAGTCAGAATTTTGTGATCCTTTGAAAATGATTCCTTTCGTCTTCCACCTCCCCAGTCAAATGATCAGAGGTGACCTCAGTCCTCTAGCTGCTGGAACCCCTCATTGTTTGTATCTGGAGTTCTGTCCAGGATAAAAGCTTTCTTCAGATACTGTGAGAGAGAGAAGAAGGGTAACAATCTCATTGTCAAGATAAAGTACACAGAAAGATAGAATTCAAAGGATCACTATCACCTACCCTTTTGGAGGGCATTTTGTTAATATTTATTAGTATCTGTCAAAATTTTTAAATGCATGTATACTCTGTCTCAGCAATTTTGTTTCTAGGAAGATTTTATCATGTGTATGTGTGTGTATCTCTGTGTGTGTATCCTTTTAAATAAATACATACATAATTCATAAGTAGACACAAAGACATGTAGTGTAAAGCTTGAAAGTTAAAGCCTGAAAACAACTTTTAATACCCATTAGTAAAGGAGTGGTTAAATAAATGGTAATCATCCATATTGTGGAATACTTTGCAGCCATTAGAAAGAATTAAGTAGAACGTGATGGAACTTGTTTAGAAAAATCTCTTTAATCTATTGAGAAAGGTAAGATGCAGAACAGTATAGTATATTCCTGTTTATGTTTTAAAAATTATTATAAAAGCTATATGCACTTCTATGTGCATAAAAAAATTGTACAAGGATACAGAAAGTCCCCTTTAGGGAGGGGATCAGGAATTTTGAATGACAGGGAGATTTCTTTTAACACTTTAAACCTTTTGGTAGTAGTTTTTATTTTTTACACGGGCATGCAATACTTTTAAAACACCTTAAAAAAGAGCTTAAAAAACAACATCATTATAGAATAGCGTTAGACTGACTCTTTACTTACTTTGTGCATCATCCCTGGCAAATACTGGATTAAAATCTGCTACACAATATGATTTTTAGGTTTTTTGATAGTCTTTATATAACTTAGGCCATGCAAATGAATTATAATACTATACTGAGCAAGTTACAATCACAATGGAATATCTGCTGGAGAATTATAAGTGCCATGTATTCAAAACAAATTAAATAATTTGGGGGGCACTGTCTGTATTACTGCCTTCCTCTGTTAAGTAAGAATTGACTATACCTGTAAATTTCTGATAAATGTATCAAGAAAAGTTGTAGTAAATAGTGTAAGTAAATGTTACTGATGGTAGATAAGAAAGTTCCTGAATGTGTAAGATTTGTCATTCATTTTTTGTTTTAAAAAATTTATTTAATTTTTTAAATAAAATTTATTTAATTTTTTAAATAAAATTTATTTATTTAAAAATTTTTTTCATTTACTTTTAATTGGAGGATAATTGCTTTACAGTGTTGTGTTGGGTTTTGCTGTACAGTGTGAATCAGCTATAAGTATACATATGTCATTAATTTTCTATAATGGAAATCCTTTTTCTACATTCTCCCAAGACCCTGAAAATTATCAGCAAGATTATTTGACTCAGTCTGTTGATAGCCAAACGGAATTCTGTTTCTCTTATCCCCTCTTCCTCTCACCAAACAATGACCAAGTTGCCAAATGAATAGGTCCCTACTATGTTGTGAAATGGAAGCGGAAGAAGGCAGTGTCATGGGGAGAAGAAGTTCAGGCAAATTCCAAAAAGGGTAGAAAGAGAGATGTATATTTGGTGCTAATGTGAGTGCCTGAGAAAATGCCACTTTGTATATTTCACAATTATATTTGGCATGAGAAAGAGGGTCGTGAAATTTGGTAGCCAGTTAGACTTACAGTTTTTCCCTGAGTGGAAACCTTGTCAAGAGGTAACTATCACCACATGAGCGGAAAGTTCTTTGAGTGGGTTTTGTATGTTCTAAGGTGACTCCATTTCTCATTGCAGAAAAACGCCTGTCTAGGGGCATCTCCCACGCCAGCTCCAGCCTTGTTTCCCTGGCCCGGTCCCATGTCTCCTCCAATGGTGGGGGTGGGGGGAGCAGTGAGCACCCCCTGGAAATGCCCATCTGTGCCTTCCAGCTTCCAGATCTCACTGTGTACAGTGAAGACTTTCGCAGCTTCATAGAGAGAGACCTCATCGAGCAGTCCATGCTGGTTGCCTTGGAGCAGGCAGGTCAGTGAGCGCTTCCTTCCCCGTGCTCCCCGCCCTGCCGAGGGGCGGGCTGGACCAGCAGCTTCCAGTCTAAGCCTGTGATCTGATTGATGGCAGTCAAACTCAGTGGTCAGTCAGAGAGACATGTGCTGAGCTAGGCACTTCTTCAAGTTAAAGAAAGGACACAAACAGGATACTTGGCTCTGGAAATTTCCTGTTTGATGGAAGGGAAACCAGATATACATGTGAAAGGCCTAGGAATCAATACCTAAAAATCAATACATTAAAAAAAAAAACTGAATTATAATTGGCTCTGGAGCATGTTGTGAACAGAAAGAACCAGTGTTGTAGACGATACACAGTGGTGATTAACTAAGTCACATTTATTTATATAAACCTTTCCCAAAAGATTTATTTACCTTTACAATTATGTTTGTCTTAAATTATTGTTGAAATTAGTTGGTATAATGGATGAGGCAGCTGAGATTTCTGGGAAACCTAGTCAGGTATTAACTCCCATGGAAGAAGGACTGGGGGATGGGAGTTGGGGGCATGGAAAAGAAGCTCTTATTTTTCATTTTGTACCCTTCCATACTAATCATGCACATCTATTTCTAATTTTTAAGTAGTTAGCCATTTGTCTGGTATGATTATAGGCCAGTTTTTCTTTCAGTAGACATTTCAGTAATTGAAGAACATTTTTAAGCATCATTCATACAATATTTTCCTTATGTAAGTAACAGGTTGACAATTGTAGGATGACTACAGAACTGAGACTCATTTTCTTAGGTGTTTTAAGTACTTCTTCTTATTGCTCGTGTCTTTAAAATCATACCACATGCATGCTGACATGCTTACTGTGATATATGCAGATGATACTTGCATGACACTTTGAATATATGTGTTGGGTTGATTTTCTTTTACTGATGATTGACTTGTGCTGATCTTTATTGCTACAGTGTTTGCTGGTCTTCTGACCAGAGTGAAGGAATCAGAGCCAAACTAGGTCACCAACACAGATTTCAGTCTATGAGCTTGGCCTCATCATCCATCGCAGGGTTGTTCAATCTTAGCATTATTGACATCTAAGACCAGATTATTCTTTGTTGTGTGAGCTGCCTTGTGTATTATGTTTAGCAGCCTTTCTGGCCTCTATTTACTCGATGTCAGTAACATCCCCCTCACCAATTGGGAGAACCAAACATATTTCAGGATGTTGCCATATATCCCTTTGGGGACAAAATTGGCCCCACTTAAGAACCTCTAATCTAACCAGTTATACCCACCAGATTCTAATGAACCAGATATAAGTGAAGAAGATACACAGAGTAATAGAGTGGTGGTTTGATTCTAGGTAGGCTTTCTAGAAGAGGCAAGCTTGGAGTCTTGTATTAGAAGTAAAAAAGTAGAGAGCTTTATGGATAACCTGCTCATCTCCCTTTCCTCATGTTTCTGTAGGGCGTTTGAACTGGTGGGTGAGTGTGGACCCCACCTGTCAAAGGCTCCTTCCTTTGGCAACTACTGGAGATGGAAACTGCCTCCTGCACGCAGCGTCTCTTGGTGAGTTATGAGAATGGCCCTTCATTCCCTCACAGAAAGGAAGCAATAGTTAAATCGCATGTGAAGACTTGAGCCAACCAACCTTGATCTTAGAAATGATGGCTCAGAGCAAGGTTGTGTGTGTGTGTGTGTGCTGGTGCAGGAGAAGATAAAAGAGAGCCCTGTCCTGGTTGTTCAGTCTTGTTGAGAAATTGTATGGAGAGCACAGGATTTAGCATAAGTCCCACTCAGAGAACTGACCCCTAAAAGTAATGAACAGCAGAAAGCAAGTAGTTACTGTTTGTGTATGTATATAATTCTACTTAATATTCATTCTTTTGGTATATAAAAAAGATATGTTTTCATCAGACCCCTATGAAACTTGTTTTTTTTAATATTATTTTTAATTAACCTTTATTTAATGTACCTTTTATTTTTAATTTTTACTTAGAGGATAATTGCTTTACAATATTGTATTGGTTTCTGCCGTACATCAACATGAATCAGCCATAGGTATATGTATGTCCCCTCCCTCTTGAACCTCCCTCCCACTTGCCACCCTATCCCAGCCCTCTAGGTTGTGTATGTCTAATCTGGAATAATGTATTTTTCTTTTTGTTTCTTTTTTTTTCCACTTCCAGTTGTGTTGATGTAATTGACATACAGCACTGTATAAGTTTTAAGATATACAGTATAGTGATTTGACCTGCACACATTATGAGATGATTACAGTAAATTTAGTGAACATCCATCATCTCATAAAAAATTAAAGAAATAGAAAAGAAAATTATTTTTTCCTCATCATGACAACTTTTAGGATTTACTGTCTTAACTTTCATGTCTAATGTACATCAGTGTTAATTGTATGTATCATGTTGTACATTACATCCTTAGTACTCAGTAGTCTTAGTCTTGTATATATGGAACTTTGTACCTTTTAACTACCTTCATCCAATTCTCCCTCCTCCCACCCTCTGCCCTTGGTAACCACAAATCTGATGTCTTTTTCTGTGAGTTTGTTTTTGAAGTATAATTGACCTATAACACTTGTATCCTGGCACACAGCGTGGCGATTCAAATATTTCTATGCATTTCAAAATAATCACTGTGTTAAGTCTAGTTACCGTCTGTCACCATACAAAGATATTGCATAATTATTGACTTGTTTACTTTAAATTGTTATGTCTATTTAAAATTCAGTATATTATTTGCCTTAGTTTTTTTAAAAAGTGTCCCCATTTTCCGGCCATTCCTCAAGCTTTAATGCTGATTGCCGTGTGCCGGACCCATCTTGTCTGCTGCTACTCTGTGTTTTATTTATTTTTTAGCTTTTTAAAAAAATTGTCTGAGCCATGTGGCTTACAATATTTTAGTTCCCCATCAGGGAATTGAACCCAGGCTCTCAGCAGTGAGAGTGTGGGGCAGTGAGAATATGGAGTTCTTAACCACTGGACTGCCAGGGAATTCCTACTCTGTATTTTAATTTGTTAGACTTGGTATCAAGAGTAAAGGCTTTCTGGGACTTCCCTGTTGGCCCAGTGGTTAAAGACTTCCCCTCCCAATGCAGGGGGTGCAGGTTCGATCCCTGGTTGGGGAGCTAAGATCACACATGCATCATGGCCAAAAAACCAAAACAAAACAGAAGCAATGTTGTAGTGAGTTCAATAAAGACTTTAAAAAGTCTTCTTGTCAGGAGTTTGTAGGACGTGGTCTATCCTCTGCTTTTCGGCTCTCAAAAGTTTCTGAGCCTCTAGAGTAGGAACATCTTTTCTTTCCTGATCACCTTTCTCTTGAGTTACAGGGAGTTTCTTTGAACCTGGGCTTCAGGCCTGATATCCTTCATGCCAGAATCTGTATATCATAATTAATAAGTGACGTTGAGTCAAGGTAAGGTGTCTTGAAAGTGAAAGTGTTTGTCACTCAATTGTGTCCGACTCTTTGTGACCCCATGGACTACAGCCCACCAGGCTCTTCTGTCCATGGATTTCTCCAGGCAAGAATACTGGAGTGGATTGCCATTTCCTTCTCCAGGGGATCTTCCCGACTCGGGGATTGAATCCATGTCTCCCGCATTGCAGGCTGACTCTTTACCAGCTGAGCCATTAGGGAAGCAATGTAAAAGGTGTCTTAACCACTATGTTTTCTTGCCATAGGGATGTGGGGTTTCCATGATCGGGACTTGGTGTTGCGGAAAGCTTTGTATGCACTGATGGATAAGGGAGCTGAGAAGGAAGCATTAAAACGGCGCTGGAGGTGGCAGCAAACTCAGCAGAATAAAGAGGTCAGGAAGCTTGGGTGGGAGCACCTTGTTTACCAAAGTTATGTAAGGGAATGCTTAGTGCCTGCCATAGGAAATGTCTCCTGTTTAGGTGCTCTTAGGTCAGTGTTACTCTTAACAATCCTTTTGAAAATTCAGATACCACCAGAGGGTACATGCCTTCTGATAAGAGTTATGAGAACTGGTGTGGCGGGGACCTGTAGAGGAGGTATCTAATGCTGTGCTTTTCCTGATAAGGCACTCAGTAAACCTTTAGTGACTGTCTTTTGCAAAATGAAATACAAGCTTGTAGGATTTTTGTATTGTTTTGGTTTTTAAATTATAATAAGACTAGACCAATTTTTAAGGACTTGTGTTTTCAACTCTTATTAATACAAATGTGTAAAAAAAAATTTGGGGCTGTATATACCATTTGTTTTTCGTAAATTCAGTTTACTTGTTAAAAAACTGTAAAAGGATGAGTTTGAATGTTTTATTATTATTAGAATTTCATGTTCTGAAGATTTAAAACATGGAAATAGAATGTCTTATGTTTCTCAAAAATGAACTCAATTGTTAAAATTAAGATGCTATTAAGATCAGAGAATCTGATCTTTGATCAGCCAGTCTGCCCCAGAAGATTCCTGAGGGAAATGAATGTGCAGGGTCAAGGCCAAGTAAACAGCATTCTTTATTGACACCAAACCCCATGGCTTTCTGGTGAGCTGAGCGGGACTTTGTGGAGTTTGTTTGTTTTTTTTTTGTCTGAGCTAGAGCCAGCCTAGAGTTTGTCTTCTTCACTGTTGAATTCACACTATACCTGAACCTTAGATTTGACTACTTCAGACAGGAAAAGGCCAAACCAGATCCTGCCATTTAGTTAAGCAGACATGACAGCCACAGTCAGAGGATAGATACCAATTCCAGCTATATTAAGCTATTTATAGTTATTATTTTAAAGGTGGGGTTAGGAGCTTCCCTGGCGGCTCGGTGGTAAAAAAATCTGCCTGCCAATGCAGGAGACACAGGTTCGATCCCTGCTCCGGGAAGAGTCCACCTGCCTCAGAGCACCTGAGTTCATGAGCCACAACTACTAAGCCAGCACTCTAGAGCCCAGGAGCAGCAGCTACTGAAGCCACGTGCCCCTGAGCCAGCGCTCTGCAGCAAGAGAAGCCACCACCGAGAGAAACCTGTGCGCCGCAACTAGAGAGTAGCCCCCGTCGCTGCAACCAGAGAAGGCCCACACAGCATCAGAGACCCAGCACAGGCAAAAAGTAAAACAGAGGCGGGGTCAGATGATGATGATAGTTAGCCAGGAGCCTGCGAAATTCCGAAATTCTCTTCTTGGTCAGCCACCTTTTCCCTCTCAAAGTCCCCAAATGGAAATACATGCCTCGTGAATAGTAGATATTGAAAGAGTAGTCTTTTTACTCCTTTTGCTCAGCACGTTGAAAGTTCCATATGGAAATGAGCTAATTCTTTTAGCTCAGACGATTTATAGCACTATAGTGGAGGTGGGGAAAGGGAGATGTGCTGGGGAGCTACTTTTAGCCAGTACCAAACACCAAACAAATTAAATTGGTTTTGATTTCCTAGGCTTCCCTGTTTTGTTGTTGACAATGGTGGTAAAACCCAGTAAGAACATTTTCAGCCTAGAAGGGTACACCACCTAGTGGCTGTGTGTATAAAAACAGCAAGGGAGAATAGGTGAGAGGAAGGAGACAGTCTCATGAATGTATATCAGGGACCACTTATCAGAGTGAACAGAGCGCCCCATATATGAACTGTTCATTCTTCTTACTTTGAGTTGAAAGAAAAAGTTACAGAATTATACAAATTGAAAATAGCTTTGTTATGTTTTTGTTGTTGTTTCTATTATTAACATATGCTCACAATAGCTCTTTAAGTCCTTTTACATTTGTTCTGCTACTTCTCATGTTTCTAGTGTCATTCTTTCTCCTCTGTCAATGTGTATTTAAAGCGTAAACTTGGGACTTCTCTGGTGGTCCAGTGGTTAAGACTTCGAGCTCACAATGCAGGGGCCCCGGGTTTGATCCCACGTCAGGGAACTAGATCCCATGTGCCGCAACTAAGAGTCTGCATGCTGCAATGAAGATCAAAGATCTTGAGTGCTGCAACTAAGACCGAGTGTAGCCAAATATAAATAAATAAATATTAAAAAAAATAGTATAAACTTTTTTAAACACTTGGTCAAATACAATTAACAAGATAGACTTTCTTCCAAACCATCATATACATCCTAAAGCCAATATAATATTTTAAGATTATTTGTACTATTTCTTCCACTCCTTTGATAAAAATTATAGTTTTACTGAGCATGTATTTATTGATTATTGATCACATGGTAAGCACTAAGCATATTGCTTAAAACGTGGTCCTGGCTTTTCAGAGTGGTAATAGGAGATGGACATGTAAGTATATGATTACAGCAAAGTAACCGGTTATGACTCCTGTGATAGAAGTCTGTGTAGCAGCTCAGCAGGGAGGGCACAAAGGAAGAAGTGCGTGGTAGATGGACCAGGGCCATTTAGGAAAGGCTTCATAGAGGAATGGTACTTGAGTTCTTTCCTGACAGTTGAGAGATTGTTCACCAGGTGGATGTGGAGTGGGCTGTCTCAGGCAGAAGGCTGTCGAGGCAAAACCTAGACAAAAGCTCAGAAGTATAAAAGGACATGGTGCATTCAAGGAAGTATGACTAATTAAATGATGTTAGAGGGGTAAGTCACAGCCCAGGAAGTGGAGTCTTTATGCTGTGCTTAAAGAGTTTGCACTATTATCTAATAGATAATAACAGTTCTTAAAAGAATTTGTAGCAGGAAGCAAACATCATCAGATTTTAATTTTAGAAAAATCTTTCTGGTAGCATTGTAGAAAATGGATCATAACAATATATGACTAGAAGTAGTGAAACCAGCATCTATTACAATAGCTCATGCTTAATAATTACTGACTAAAGGGATCCAGGTGTGGGATGGGCGAAAGGAGAGGAGTCATCAGTAACTCCCTGGTAGTTCTAATTGGGTGTTTGAGTGATAGTGTTGCTTACAAAGGTTGGAAAACAGGAAGAGTAAGTTTTAGAAGAGGTAGACGTTCCAGAGTGTAAGGTAGTCGTGGGCAGGTGACAGCCTTCAGTAGGCTGCTGGATGTGAACATAGAAATGAACGGGAAGTCTGGGCTGGAGAGGAGGATAGCTGAGTCCTGAGCATGTAGATAGAAGTAGATGAGATTATAATAGTAGAAGAGATAACCTGGATAGAACAGGGCTAAAATTATTTGACACAACATCAATATTTTTAAGATAGAGTTCAGAGAGGTTGGAGAAAGTGTTTTGTGAGCTGAAGGAAAAGAAGGTTTAAGGGGGAGATAAATGCACATGAATGCTGAGAAAGATGAGAACTGAAGAGTTCACTGAATTTGGCCAATTAGAATGTCACTGTCTTTAGCCAGAGTCAGTTAGGGGAAGTAGTGTGTAGGGGTAAGGGCATAGGCTGGAGGGCAGAAACAAGCTGGATTACAGTGGGTTGGAAAAGAAGAAGCGTGAGGGTGATCATAGACTATTCTTTCATGAATCTTGACTATAAAAGGGAGAAGAGACTGGACTTTGTAGTACAAATTGTAAGAAAAGTGCTTACAAATTATAAGACAGGAGCATAGAGTGGAATAACATGAGTGAGTTGGAGTGGCTGTTTCCTTTTAACTTAGCCTCTAACTGCTTAATATACCTTGCCTGTCTTGCACACAGTCAGGGCTGGTATACACAGAGGACGAGTGGCAGAAGGAATGGAATGAACTGATCAAGCTAGCCTCAAGTGAACCCCGCATGCATCTGGGTACCAATGGAGCCAACTGTGGTGGGTAAGTATATCTAACTGGAGGAGGAGAAAGTAATCTTTGCTGAGTCCTCAGTGTCCAGAGAGTTCTGTCCTAAGAGGGTGTTAAACAAAGACAGGAGAGAAGCCATGACAAGGGCAAAGAAGGGTATGGTATGGTATGTCCTAGGAACCACAGGTAGTTCAGTATCGCCAGAATACAGAGTATGGATGCTGAGTGACAGATGAAGTAGGCAGTCCAGATTTTTGTGTGCCATCCTGAGGAATTGAAATTGTACTGTATCCAGACTTTGGGAAACTGCAGGACAAGTGACTTGGTTTCCTCAATAAATAAAGGCAAAGAAAAGAGAAAGAACCTAAGTTTAAAGACACCTAAGAGTCGCATCAACCTGTTGGAGTGTATGGATATGTATAAGACAACTGGGGAAATGTGAATAATGTCTACATTACTGTTAGGTTTTTAAAGTGTGATATTGATGGGATTATGGTAGTTTTTAAATTGTGATATTGATGGTATTGTGGACATCTTTAAAAATAGTCTTTATTTTTTAGAGATTGAAGCTGAAATATTCACGGATGAAATTATATGATATCTAGGATTTGCTCCAGAATAATCTGGTGGGGTAGAGTGGGTGTAGGGGCTGATCCCTAGGGAAATATATCAAGGTCTAGTTGTTGAACAAGATTGACCATGTATTTATGATTATTGAGGTTGAATGATGGATATATGAGAGTTTAGTGTACTATTCCTTCTAGTTTGTTTAAAATTAAAAATTTTTTCTAAAGTAAAAAGTTAAAAATAAGTGTAAATTGGGCAGTCTGTTTAAAATGCAGAATTTTGGACCTCCACCCTAGGGAAGTATGGTTGCATTGCCCAGAAATCTGCATTTGTAGCAAGCACCCAATGTTGAATGAGATTGGTTTAGGGGGCAGGAAGCCACTCAGTTGTGAGTATGTGAGTGACAGGAGCAAATTGATGTATTTGAGCACAGTGGCAGCCAAATGGCTGATGAAGTGGAGGGGGGTAGTAGTGATCCAGGAAAGAGGGGACACGGATATGAGCACGAGTGGTGGCTGCAGATATGCCAGAGGAGACACTTAAAAGATGGAATTGGTCGGGCCAGGTGATTAACTGAAGATGCAATATAAAGAACAGTAAATATTTCACAGATTTCTGATTAAGCTACTAAGTATTAGCCAATAGATGGGTGAGGCTGTTCTTCTTCAAGTAAGGGAGCATCACGAAGGGATTTTTGTTCTCTTTCCTTTTTTGTTTTTCTTTTTTGATAGGACATGATAAATGTGATGTGTGGGTGGTTGTGGTGGGTAAGGTAATAAGCAGAATGAGGCTACACAGTTGTATATTGAACTACTAGATAAAGAGAGTAGGGGAAGGTTGTTGAACCAGATAGGTATTAAGAGGAATTACTTCCCAATTCTGAGCACTACTTTAACCCTCAAACCTTCACATTTCTTTTCTTGAATTTCCCAGTCTGTGAAATGGAGGTAGAAATAGCCACGCTAGCATAAAATAATCAGCTGTGTCTATGGCAGCCTTCAGAATGGAAAATAGGAAATGGGCATTTTTTTTCCTCTTTGCAGAACTGGTCTTCAGGGGTCTCTTGATTTGTTTTCTTCCCTCTCCCTTCCACTGCATCCCTTCCATTCTCTCCCCTCCTACAACACTAGGGTGGAGAGTTCAGAAGAGCCCGTGTATGAGAGTCTAGAAGAATTCCACGTCTTCGTCCTTGCTCATGTGCTTAGGAGGCCCATAGTCGTCGTGGCAGACACCATGCTGAGGGACTCTGGTGGGGAAGGTGAGCCAAGCAGTCCTCATTCTACCCTGAGCAGCCCTGTCTGCACGGGGGATATATGACCCTCGGGGAAAAACACGGTGTCAATTAGAGCAACGCACAGTTCTCACAGAGTCAGAGTAAAGCTGCTGCTGCTAAGTCACTTCAGTTGTGTCTGACTCTATGCGACCCCATAGATGGCAGCCCACCAGGCTCTGCCGTCCCTGGGATTCTCCAGGCAAGAGTACTGGAGTGGGTTGCCATTGCCTTCTCCACGAGTAAAGCAGTTGAGGTTAATTGATGAAACTTCTTAGGAAAGAATTGTTAAACACAGGTTGGACTGAAAGGGGGGCTTAATTGACAGAGTTGGATGGAGAGATTTCCCACTAGGCAAGAATATAGCCATAACAATAATCTGTGATTTCCTGCAGCATTCGCCCCTATTCCCTTTGGGGGAATCTACCTGCCCTTGGAGGTTCCAGCCAGCCAGTGTCACCGCTCCCCTCTGGTGCTCGCCTACGATCAGGCCCACTTTTCTGCACTTGTGTCCATGGAGCAGAAGGAGAATGCCAAGGAACACGGTGCGGAATGCAGTGTCTGGGTCTCTGGTGTCTTTTGGTCTGCTTTATTTTCACTTAGAAGAACTGAAATGAGAGAGGATGGAGGAGGAAAGAACTGAGTGACATGCAAGCCCAGACAGAGCATGTTGATGCTGTTTTCTTAAGCTCTAAGATAAACAGAGTTTTGTTTTTTAAAAAAAAGGTTCGGGGGGAAACTCAGCCTGTGTTCCCTGATCTGGAGTAAAAAAGCTTATACATTAAGGTCAAGAACTTTCCAAATGATGCTTTGCTCTATTTGCCTTAATAATGACTTTGAATTCCCTGAATTCACTTTAATTGGCAGGAACATCATGGGTGCTAGCTTACTGGTGGGAAGTCATGGAGATGAGTGGCCTAAATTGTGTTCTGAGTAATAAGGGAAACCCTGCCTGTTATTTTTTTCTGCTAAGACAATTCATCATTAAGAACTGAGATGTGACTACAGTTAAGAGACCTTTGGTATGATTCAGCAGCCTTTTTCCTGGAGTCAGTCTGTGTTCAGTTGCCTTCATCTTTCCTCAAGAAGACTCCTTGATCGTATGTGTGTTTCCTCCCCAGCTGTGATCCCACTTACAGATTCAGAGCATAAGCTGCTGCCTTTGCACTTTGCTGTGGACCCTGGAAAGGGCTGGGAGTGGGGCAAAGATGACAATGACAATGTCCGATTGGCGAGGTGAGGCACGCCTAGCCTTTCCATCTGCTTTGTAGCTGCGATCTCTTCCACATGCAGTGTCCGTCTCCCGGGGATTTTCCTCAGCTCAGGGGCGGAGATGGCCACATCCTAGTTCCAGTGTCTTTGGGAAGACGGAGAGGTGGGAGACATATTGGGCACCTGGACTCTTGCCACTGCTTTTTCTTCCCATGAAACGGAAGGGAATCCTGGGATCTGTTTATAGCGTGAGGAGTGTTCTTGCAGAATCCCCAGAACGGTGGTCAGAGAATCGAGATGATTAGATCACACTTCTCCCAGCCCAAATGAGAAGGGTTTTAAATAGCTGACCAAAATCATTTGCTCTAGACTTTTGCATTTTTTAGGGAACTTAAATGGCAAGAAAAATATGTTCTCCCCACCACCACCCCCATTTCCCTGAAGTTGGCTTCCTCCTACTTCCAGAGCTTTCTGTGAAGAGCTTAGGAGTGTAAAAGCTCCTTCCTCACCTCTTATCTAGTGCTGCCTTCTTTGGGCTCCTGAAACTGGAGCCAACTGGGAAGATTGCGTTAAAAAAAAAAAGAGTTTATGACTTTTTAAGTAAGTTCTCACCTAATTGTCAGAAGCGCCTTCTAAGTAATAAAGCAACAATAATAGTGGGTACTGTTTATTTCCTATTTTCCAGGCCCTGAGCTGGGCCCTTTCTCAATACTGTTTTAATCTTCACAACAGCCCTACAGGATAGATACTATTATCTATACTCATTATCAGCCCCTACTGAGTTTCAGGGAGGTTGAAGTGACTTGCTCAAGGTTATAAAGCTTAGTAATTGGTGCAGCCATAATTCAAATTAGCCCTGAGTTCTCAGCCATGTAGCCTTCTCCCATCCTTCCTGCCAACTGGATCACACTGCTTTGCTGTTTAAAGGCCAGAGTTCTTTGAAATTCTTTTTTTTCTCCTTTTCACAGTGTAATCCTATCCCTAGAGGTCAAATTGCATTTGCTGCATGGCTACATGAACGTGAAGTGGATCCCAGTGTCCTCCGATGCACAGGTAAGGCTTCTCCCACTCCACCCTGGCGTGTCCTCCTTTTCATGTCAGGGAGAGCAAGGAAATCTGGTGGTGGTCTCCTTCTGAGTCTCTTCCAGATAGTGGCTTACGATTAAGTATCAGGAGTAACTGGAAAATACCAGAGAAATTCCAAAAGAGACTTTTCCTGCCTTTCTGCCTGTTAGTGCCCTTTGTTTTCTACATCTTCTCACCAACCAGGCTCTGCTTTCTGATGCTAAACACATTCTTCAGGAAAAGTTTTCTTGAACTTGAGATTGTTATCACTTTATTCTAAGCCCTCTACATAGACCTCTGTGTTGGGCACTAGAAGAGATAGAATAGCTTAAAGAGCTCCTGATCCAGTAGGTTCTGAGGATGTCATTATCCATAGAACAGGAACACAGGAGCAAGGGCCGACTGACGGACTCTGGTGCTGAATGTCTGAAAGTGGATGCAGAATGGTTAAGACTTGGGGTGTTTATTCAAAACTTCCTTGACATTAACTTTGGGCAGAATCTGGCATAGAGAAATTTATAATAAACGCCATTCTAGTGTCTACAGAATATTCTCCCACCTTACCCAGAGGCTATGTATTTGTATAGTTGCACATTGTTCTAGAAGAGCAAAATCTAGTCTTCATTTTGCTGTTTCCTTATTACAGAAGGGCATCAGGTTGCAGGGGGTGAGATAAAAGCTAGACATTAGATACACTTTTCCCTGGCTCATGGGAGAGCTGATGAGCTGGGGAAGGACAGTGCCCTCCTGGGTGATCCTTCCCCTCATGACAGGAGCGCTTCTCTGGAACCTGGCAGTCATTCCAAGGAAGGAGTTCACTGGGGTGTTACCACCCCTCTCCACATGGTTAATCCTATAGCAACAGCTGCAGAAGGCCCCGTGAGCCAGGTGGGTGGGCCGGAGGTTCCTGGGGGCTTCCTTCAACCTAGGCCAATGGAGTAACTGTCAGCCATTTTTTTTAATTTAATTTTTTTTATTAAAGTATAGTTGATTTACAGTGTTGTGCCGATCGCCACTGTACAGCAGAGTGACTCAGTTATACACATATAGACATTCTTTTTTTAGATATTTATGTCCATTATGGTTTATCACAGGATCTTTTCCATTATGGTTTATCACAGGATATTGAATGTATTTCCCTGTGCCATAGAGAAAGACCTTGTTTATCTGTTCTCTGTCTGTCAACCATCTTGTCTCTTCCAGGCTCCACTGGCCCAGCCTGAGTCCCCAACAGCCTCAGCTGGAGATGAGCCCCGGTCCACTCCTGAGTCTGGGGAATCAGACAAAGAGTCAGTTGGCAGCAGCTCTGCCAGCAATGAGGGCAGCAAGAGGAAAGAGAAGTCAAAGCGAGATCGGGAAAAGGACAAGAAGAGAGCAGATTCTGTGGCTAACAAACTGGGCAGCTTTGGCAAAACCTTGGGCAGCAAGCTCAAGAAGAACATGGGAGGCCTGATGCACAGCAAGGGTTCTAAGCCTGGAGGGATGGGAACAGGGTCGGGGGTAAGCAGTGGCATTGAGACGCTGGAGAAGAAGAAGAAGAACTCACTGAAGAGTTGGAAGGGTGGCAAGGAGGAGGCAGCTGGGGATGGGCCTGTATCTGAGAAGCCCACATCTGAGTCTGTTGGTAATGGAGGGAGCAGGTATAGCCAGGAGGTGATGCAAAGCCTGAGCATTATGAGGATTGCAATGCAAGGGGAGGGGAAGTTTATTTTTGTTGGCACCCTGAAGATGGGTCACCGCCACCAGTATCAGGAGGAGATGATCCAGCGCTACCTCACTGATGCTGAGGAGAGATTCCTGGCAGAGCAGAAGCAGAAGGAGGCAGAGAGGAAGATCATGAATGGTGGGGTAGGGAGTGGGCCGCCTCCAGCCAAAAAGCCAGAGCCGGATGGCGCGGAGGAGCTGCTGACTGCCCCTCCAGCAGAACCCAAGGCAGCGGCAGTCTCTACCAGCTACCCTGGTGGCTTTACTGTCCCTCGGCCTTCTGGGGGTGGAGTCCACTGCCAGGAACCCCGGAGGCAGTTGGCAGGGGGGCCGTGTGGGGGGGGCCTACCACCATATGCCACCTTCCCCAGACAGTGCCCTCCTGGGCGACCCTACCCCCACCAGGACAGCATCCCTTCTCTGGAGCCAGGCAGTCACTCCAAGGATGGAGCTCACAGGGGTGCACCGTTAGCACCCCACTTCCGCGTGGCTGATTCCTATAGCAACGGCTACAGAGAGCCCCCTGAGCCAGATGGATGGGCTGGAGGTCCCCGGGGGCTTCCCCCAACCCAGACCAAATGCAAACAACCGAACTGCAGCTTCTACGGACACCCTGAGACAAACAACTTCTGCTCCTGCTGTTACAGGGAAGAACTGAGGAGAAGGGAGCGTGAACCGGGGGGGGAGCTGCTGGTGCACAGGTTCTGAACGGGAAGCCTTGGAGGGCACGGGGGCTAAACAAAGAGCGTTAAGTCAATTAATTGGCTCCTAAGACCCAGCTCCCATGGTGATGGGGTGAATGCAGTAATGTTGGTGTGAGCCTGGCTAGAAACTCTTAAGTGTATATACTCTGAAGAGCTGCCAGGCTGGCAAGAGCAGGTCAGGGCTGCATGGTGCCTCGAGGGCTATACTGGTCCTTTGCCGATCTTGACTTGATGGTACTGAGGAGGTACAAGGGGAGAAGGATGATAATTGTGTGTCATGACCCCTTGGGTCCATCCCAGGCCTAAGGGAAAGTGTAAGGGAAGATTCGGTGTGGGGGTGGGTAGGTGGGCAGAAGTCTGGGGGAGGAACTGGCAAAGGAGGTTCTCAGTCAATAAAAGATAAAACAGACCAAAGTTCTTTTAGGTTGGAAAAAAGCACACGGTGGTGGAGTTGGGAGTGTGGAGGGAAACTGGGAAATTAGATTTGCTATTGACTTGAATTAAGGTAGATGTTTAGTGTTGGATAGATTTTTCCTTTTGAAGGATCTGGAAAGACAGGCAGAAATGTGTGCTTCTGGGTGCTTAGTAGGAGGGGGATGGCTTAAATCAGTTTAGTGAGATGGCAAAGGCAAGAAGTTAAAGGGGGAATCTTTCTCCTCTGAAGTTTGATTTCCTTCTAAACAGCCATCTGTCATCCCTTCTAGTTCGAGAGGAGATTGCCGATTGCCCCCTATCTTTTCCTCATCCTTTTTGAGGGCTGAGCTCAGCTAAGTTAAGAAGGTTGTGATTTTTTTTAAGACTTTAATTTTATTAAAAAAAACAAAACACAAAAAATGTTCCCTCTGGGGAAGGCAAGAGAATGATAAGAGCAGCTGTGTATGTTGAATTTTTTCCAGGTGAATTGGTGCAGAGGTGATCTTTTTTTAACTACTAGCAATAACCACACATTTGAGTGCGCCTTGGGAGGGGGTGGGAGGAGGACAGACTTTTGGCCAGACTGTTTCAAACAAAACCAAAAACCTAAATAGAGCACTACCATCCTCTGCTGCTGCATTTCTGTAGAAAGCAAGTTATTTTTTGGATTTTTTTTTTTTAAGAAAAGAAACAAAAAGACCCTAGCAAGCAAAAAACATTAAAAAAAATTAGTTTTTCCCCTCCTATTTAAGTGATTCTTTCTCCTTCCTCTCTACTTTTGGAGAATGAACTTAACATCCCGGCTTCTTTTGTTAAGCCATAGCTGACCTTAATCTGTGGTTAGTTTATTAAAATAATAAAAAAAAATACTTTGTAAGAAGAGATATTTTTGATAATAGGACTGATGTTGAAACTTGGGATAGGGATTAGGGGCAATTTATAAAGAGGTAGTTAGAGAAATATATATTTTAGTGAACTATAACCACAGATCACAGATTACTCCCAATGAGCTGATCTGTCATTGGATCTCCCTCCTCTCCCCAAACCATCCTTTTCCCCAGGGGGTGGGAGTGGGTCTGTGGACACAGTAGTGGGGGGAGCTCCTTTGCATTTTGCACAAAGCACAAGTCTGGACAGCCTATGCTCTGGCCAGCACCATTTCTAAGAGCTTTAAACTGGAGGACCTATCCTAGGCCACTTTTCCCTTTTCTTTAAATTATTTCTTTCTGGGGGGGGGGGGGGCGGGGAATCAACTATGCAATTGTATACACTCCTGGGTGCATATGAAGAAGGGGAATAAGTGTACTTAAATGTGTCTAGAGTGTTATTTGGGGCTATTTTTCTGTATTTGGATTTCTCTTTTGAGGTGTGTACTCTTAAACCATCCTGTGGAATGTAATCCTCACATTGATCCAAGGCAGACATGGGCTGGGGGTGTGCGTTGGGGGGACTTGTGTTTGCCATATGTTGCTTCTGCCCAATCAGGAAAGTTGTCATCCCACCTCCCCCTTGATAACAGTCAGCCAAGACTGTCCTCTTCATTGGAACTGCTCACAATTTAGAAGTTTCCTTTCTCCTCAACAAACTCAAAAAGCCACTTATTTTCTAAATCTGATTGTTGATTTAATAATTTCCATGGCTATTAATTCTTAGGCTTTTATTTGGAAATGGATGTGTTAAGGAAGCAATGAGGTCAAAGGAGATAGGTTCCAAAGGAGGGTATGTTTGTATTCCCAGGAAGGACTAGGGCTGGTGTGAGAGGAGCATTCCTTCAGGGTCAAAACTTAAGGAGATGCCAGAAGCTCACTAATCAAGAAAAATACTGTTTTAATGGAGCATTTAAGAAAATTAATGCAAAAAATCCATCATGAGCAAAATGTCAAAATCTTTAAAACAGACAGGATCCATCAGGACTGGGGTAAGAGTGAGGGAAGAAAAGCTGAATTGAGCAAGGAGGGGTTGAATCTTGTCTTCATTTAAAATTCTGATAACTTTATTCATTGTGGCTCTTTTTATATTAGTTTTGATTTTCAGAATATATTGTGTGAAAATAGCATCTTGGTCACTGGTTTTTGAGGCATCCTTAAATTTTGTGCCCAAAGTGAGTGCCTTGCTCACCTCACCCCATGTCTGGGATTAGAACAACACTGGTGAGACCACCACCATATGATCTTCTGTCCCCTAATATGCACCCAAACAACAGGTGACTCAAACTCACACCTAGAATTTGCACAGCTCACCTAGCTTTCCCGTAGGCATCCATCTATATCATAGGATTTTGGCCTGGACCAATAGGAATGGAAACAGACCAGGGATTTTCCCAGAGAATAAAACCAGGAAACTTTTAATTCTCCACTGGACTGCTGTGTTTGGATTTGATCTATTAGTCTAGTTAATACTTTTGTTTTTAAAAACTGAGGACAAATGAACAAAAATGGAAAACTTGTGTCATGTTTGCTTTTGTTTTGATTTATCAATTGACCAACCCCAATCCCTTTTGACTTCTTTTCAAATAAAATGGAAATTCTGAGGGGTGCCCAAGGGGGTGAAAATGGTGGGGAAAGGGGGGGGGGTAGGTTATTTAGGCCCTATAGCTTTTTCATTAAGAATTTTTTGTTTTTAATTTGGGAAGGTAACTTCATTGAGGCATTAAAAAAAATAATAACCTCTCCATTATAAAAATGAGGGACCCTGAGTCAATGGATGTTTTTCCGTAGGGATGAGTAAAGTCTGTTCTGCTTTATATTTTGAGACGGCTGTAGGATGGGAAGGTGGTGAAAAATTGCCTGGGAAATGACAGTATTTGGGAAGGGAGAAGAGGCAACCTCGTGCAATTACTGTGTTGTGGGGAAGGGAGGAGAGGGGTATGTGACATGCACTTCAAAGGAGCCAAATTCCTTAGTTGAGGGTGTGATTGGGGTGGGGGTGGCAGGCCCTTCAATCCTAATTGAGGGATATCTCTCAGGCTTAAATAAGTGCACTTAGTTATTTTAACCCAAGGCACTGGGGTACCTACTGAGGTGGTTATTGGAGAGGGGAGATTTTCAGGGCTCTTATTTTTCCCTTTTTGATTTCAGACAGTGCTACTGCCTCTACCCACCCTAGGTTCTCCATCTCAGCCCTGATGGAGCAAATAGGTCTATAGGACACGCCTCCAGATTCCTCCTTTTAATTTATGCTGGTTTGATTGAGAGTTACAAGATTTAACCAAACATTTTCCCCTCACACTGGATTCTACAGCAAAATAAAATGATGATATTAAAAGGGTTTTTTTTTTTTTTTTTAAAGATTCAGTCTCTTTATGGAGTGGGATGGTGTTCAACTCAGTGCTCTGTGGGGCCTGGATGGAAGTTCCTTCCCTTTGCTGTTAGCTGTTTCTTCTCAAGTGAAACTAAAGCTCACAGACCAACTAAGCAAAAATCAGCAATGACTTTTTAGTGTATGTTTGGGAGTGATACTGAGGTGGAAAGGATGGAGCTGGTTCTGAATGACTTCTGAGAACCTAGCTTTTGCTATTCTTAGCACTTGCTATACAGCCACATGTCCAAAGTTCCAGTCACATTTTATCTTTCCCAATGAAGGAGTTTCAAAAATAATTGTCCCCAAGTTACTCCAACACCTCTGGACTCTGCATTCTCTTCTTTCTCCAAGGAGTCAGTGTCCCAGACCCACCACCACAGGTGAGAAGACAGAATTAGTAGTCCCTTCTCGTCCTGGAATCACCTGCACCACAGATTTTTCTAATTTCCTTTTCCCTCCAGGCCCTTCAGCTACAGATTCAGTGACTCATACAGGCAGTCTGTTTCTTTCACTTTGTAGAAATCACAGGCTGTTTTGCCCCCTGAACTTAAGTGGATTAACAAAATATTAGGATACCCTCCATGGAAGACTTTCTCCACAATCCCTCCCTTTACTGGCCACTTGGGTAAGGGGTGCTAGAAAAGAGGAAGGGAAGCTGGCTGCCAGTAGCGCAGAGAGGAGCGGGGTGGGGAGGACCTTGGCCTCTTTCTGTGCTTATAACTGGATCTATGATTCATCTCGTGAGTCGCTCAGCTCCACCTCCTTCCTCTAGCTGCCCCTCCCGGCAGCCTTCACTCCTGGCACAAACCTGCAACCAGACCAGGATTCTGAAGATGGAAAAATCTGATACAGACACTTGCCTCTCCACCGTTCCTTTCATCCCCTAAACCTCCACTGGGGGTGTGGGGGGCGGTCAGAGGGGGGGCGGGGGGCGGGGGGGGGCTCCTGTTACTTAACACTCAGCTGCTGTCCCCTTTGCATTCCTGGTTAGGTGCTGATCCAAGTCATCTTTTTTCTGGCTCTGACCTTCCCCCATCCCCCCTCATGTTTTCTCTATTCTCCTGCTGTTCTACACCTCAAGTATTAAAGAATAGAATGAGGCTCTTGACGGGTGGTGGGGAGAAGGAAAGTGGATAATGGATTTTTAAATTGCGGTACACACCTTTTTCTGTTGCCACAGACCTTGGGAAATATTTTCTTCCCTCGAGGGATTGAGGCTGATGGAATGCAGGTGGGGGTGGGGAATGTAGCAGCTTTTAGGACTTAGAATCAGGCTTCTGGGACGCCTTCCTAGCAGGTGTATGCCTCTTTGTTCCAGATGGACTCTGTCTCACAATATCTTCACTATTTCCACAGTTGCAGCCAAGACAGGGAACTTTTCAAAACTGAGGCCGGAAGGGTGTGTGTGCTGGGGGGAGGAGAGTTGAGTGTCACTCTGGAAAACTGGGGACCCCACCTAAGGACTGCTGCCTCTGTACAAACTCAAAATCAATAAAACAGCAGCTCAGTAATTTCTTATTTTGTATCTTCTTTTGTCTTTTTCATATCTAAAGGTAGGTTTTTGCATACCTACCCTAGTTAACAGTTCCTTTACTTCCCTCCTACAGCCTTCCCCACCCATCTTTGCTTCTTGGGTTTCAAGGGGGAGGGTTGGGGGATGGGACTGTTGCACTGAACGGAGGGTTCCAGCCCTCAGCTTTCAAAGTCCTCAACATGAATCATTAATTTGGAGATCTGATGTCTGGGGTGGAGGGAGGGCTCCTGTACCTGGAATGGGCTCTAGTTTCCAATTGTTTGGATGGGGTGTGTGTGTGTGATTAAGTCTTAAGATCTTTTCTTTGGGCCTCCCACCCCCAGCCATAGAACTTGCACGTACCCGTACCTGTGTCAGCATCCTGCAGATATTTCAGTTTCTCTCCCTACTTTTCCACTGCACCCTTCACACGAGATATGTTTCACACTCTTTGGAGAAGAATATACAAAAACACTTCCACTTGCCCCCACCCCAATTCTTGGGCTTCCCCAGGCAAAAATCCCGAGGGCCAATTTCCATTTATTTATTCTCAACCACTTTAGTTCAGAGTGTCAGGAGAGGTTGTAAGGAGACCTGAAGTACTTTTAATCATTCCTCGCATCCCCTTAAAGAAGACAAAAACAGCTTCCCAGGGAAGCCATCAGTGAGAATCCAGGGAAGTGGCCCAAGTGATTCCAGTTTAATACTTGTCATTACAGCTTCACTGAAATAGTCCCTAAAGCTCATGAACAGAAAGAGGGTAGGATCTGGGCTTGGAGTAAAGAAGGGAATGTGGTTATTTTCTCAGTTCCCCAATTTTTCCTCACCTTTCTTAGGCTCCTCCACTTTCCACTTTTCCAAAATTGTGTGTCTTCTCCTTTAAGGGGCTGGGCATCTCTTCCGCCCTCTCCAGAGTCGACTGAAGTTTCCGTGGAGCCTTCTCTAGCTGGACTGGACACACCTTTCAAAGACCCCAAATCGTGCTCCTTGCACCTCAAATGCTCCTTTCCCTTGAATCTTCCTCCTGCCCCTCTCCCTGACTTCCCTCCTGCTAGCCACAGGATTCAGCCTCTCCCCAAGGGGCTTGAGCATCCTTGAGGTTTTCCACCCTTGACTGCTCCATCCCCGGATGGAGCCAGAAAAATGTGGTGGGGGGGCCGGGGCCAGAGTTTCAACATCGCCCCCCAGAAGGAGGAGCCAGAGATGGGGGTAAGGAGAGGAAAAGGGCTTGGGGGAAGGGTTTGTCATCTAGAGGGTGCAAATGGGGGTGATGTGGAGAAAGAAAAGAATCTAGAGGCGGAGGTTATGTCTCATATCAACCTCTGTTGATGGTGCTTGGTCTTTTTTGCAGTCTCAAGTTCATTGTCTCATTATCCATTAACCAGCCCCTCCCTTCCTTAACTCTCTGCCGACGCCTGTCCTGAGCTCTCCACAGCCACTGATCGCAGTGTCTCCTGAGAGTCTGAGTGTAGGCCTCCAGGGTGGCTGCTGAAGTAAGCCCAGACTCCAGGACCAGAGAAGCTTGGGGATTAACCCTACACCCTTCACAGCTCTCTGGACCGAAGTCTGTGCAGGGGACTGGGATGCCAGAGCCCAGGAGTCGTCAGCTGGGCAGCTGCCTGGCCTCTGGAGGCCTCCCAGGTAATAATGCCTTCCCAATACTTCTGATTTCCAGACTGTTCCAAATTTTACACTCCTCAAACCCTGTTTCAAACCTCACTAAAGATACCTCTGTATTCCTCTTCTGGCTCAAAGTGCTTTTGCCTGAAGTTTGCTCTGTTCTCTGCCCAGGGCTGGCTAGGAGCTTGATGGTCCCTCTGTTTTCTTGACTGTTACTCCTCCTCTGATTAACTTATTAAGAAATATTTGAGGGCCTAAAATCTCTCCTCCTAAGCTTTCATTCTTGTGGGGTTAGGGAGGAATCTTAGTCTTTCCTCTTTAGATTCCCCTGTCTGTTGCAGAAAAACTGGACTCTGTTCACCTATGCTGAAGAGAAAGAGCTTTAAAGGAGTAGAAAAGAAAAAAAAAAAAAAGTAGAAAAGAGTAGCTTTATTACTTTACCAGGCAAACAGGGCCACAGCAAGCTAACACTTTCAAGACTGTGCCCTTTCCCTTCCTGGGAAGTTGGAAGAGGTCTGATAGTTTTAGGGTGGGAAATGGGACTGAAGATAAGGATAAGGGTTGATGTAGACTGGCATTCTTCTCTTGGAGTCACTGGAATCATTAGAGCTGGCTTGGGGCCATTCCAGAACAGGTTCTGGTGGTCCTCAAGGTCATTGTCCTATGACATTCTTTCTGGAAAGAAGAATGCTTCCAAGGAAAGGAGTGTTAGGGAAGGTTGTCTTGGAGGGGTAAACATCAAGTAGCCAGAAGGCAATCATTTTCAGAGTGCAATTAAGTAAGAAAGAGAGGGAGAACAAACATGGGTAGGTTGAGTGAGTGGAGAGAATAAGGGCTGCCTAAAGGCTAACCTTCTCCAAGGCTTCTTCCTTGGAGATGGAAATGGCAACCCACTCCAGTATTCTTGTCTGGAGAATCCCATGGAGGGAGGAGCCTGGTAGGCTACACTCCATAGGGTCTCAAAGAGTCGGACACGACTGAGCGACTTCACTCACTCACTCAAGGGCTAACATAATGGAGTGCCTCAATTAATTTCTGCCACAGAATGTCTGAGAGGAGTGTCTGTATACAAGTGGGGGCAACACTGCGAACAGTCATAACCTGGCTTCCTTTCTTGCCCTGCAGGGGAGCGGATTCTAGCATGGGCCCCAGGGGTGAGGAAGGGGCTGGAACCTGAAATGCCTGGAACCCTGATCTGCAGCAACTTGAGGGTCACCTTCCAGCCCTGTGGATGGCAGCGGAGTCAGGTGAGGAGGTTAGGGCAGTGGAAAGGACAACCAGTGGCAAGTGGAAAGGGAGTCTAGAAGATTTAGACAAACATTATAGAAGTGAGAATTATGCTTAAAGGGCTGTCTTCTAAGAGTATCAAGGATTGTTGTTGGGATTGTTGAAGGGAGGTTAGGGCTGTCAAAATAGGACAATGAATGAGACTTCAGATGTCTTTAGCGTCAGTCATGTGCTTCTTCTAGGAGACTCCCCTGAGCAGTGAGTATGATTTTTCCCTGGCCAACATTGGGCGATTAGAAGCTGGTAAGTGTGGCGGTTTGGTGAAAGGGCTCACTGTGGGTGCTGGAACCCTTCCTCATCCTTCCTGTATTCTCAGAGGACAGACTGAGTGGATGGAGTGGGATGGGCTAGAAGAGTTCCTCCTAGAGGGACCCTGATTCATGGCTATACCACTCTTCAACTCTTGACTTCAGTGAATGGCCCGTCCCGAGTCCAGCTCCTCCGTCCAGGGTCCCTGCTTAAATTTATCCCTGAGGAGATTCTGATTCATGGCCAAGACTTCCGGCTACTCAGAGTCGGTTTTGAGGCTGGAGGACTAGAGCCTCAGGCCTTTCAGGTAAGAGGTCTTCAACCCAAGAATCCCTCCTCCCCTTAGAATCTTGGGATCCTTTCCCTCGCAATCCCCAATAGTCCCATCTGTTAAGATCCCTCTCATCATTCACTCTGCTTCTTTCCTCTAGGAAAGACTAAAATGAGAGTATGGTGAGAGTAAAGGCCTGAGTTCTAGCCCAGCGTTGCCAATTATCAGAAGTGTAACTGTGGATGAGTGTCTTCCTTTGAAAAACAGGGAGGGTTGGACAAGATTATTCCCAAGATTCCTCTCAGCACTACCATTCTGTCATTTTGTGGTTCTAAATGTGTTCTCCTGACTCCAGTTCTCATGACCAGTGGAGGCTCCCTTTGTTAGGGACAGTCTTCACTTTTCTTTTCTATTAGTGGCCAAGACAGTGAAACAACATATGAGCCTTATTGCCTCCTTTTTACTTTAGTCTGAGGCAAAGGATGGGCTGTCCTTTCTTCCACAGGTGACCATGGCCATTGTCCAAGCCAGAGCTCAGAACAGTCTAGCCCAACAGTATGCAGGGATAACCCTGAGCAAGGCTGGTGAGTGAGGGTGCTTTGGGGGTAAGGAAAGGGTAGAGTATGAAAAG